CCACCAGACTCCTTGTTGTTTTTTTAGAATGGTAGTTACTGACTGAGACCAAAGTTATGTTAGTTAGTTTCACTGGCATCCTATTTGGATAACTTGAATGAGTTTTATATTGCTCAGAACATTGACTTGCTTCTTGACTTTCTCATGTTTATAGTGCACTTGCTCTTGAATGAATTGCAAGCTAGATGGTTCAAGGTTCAAACTGTTTTTCTCCTCCAGGTCATGTAGAAGAGCAGATTTCGTATGAAGATGGGATTGTTGGTGTTTATGCGTAACCTGCTACTAGCCCTTTGTCTCTTTCTGGTACTTGGATTTCTTTATTACTCTGCATGGAAGCTGCACCTTCTCAGATGGGAGGACACAAGTAAGTATAGGAACTCTTGCCAGTCCCTCTTTAAATGCTCATGAAGTAGTTGTTGGTGGTGTGGTTTTGGTTTTGTGTGTTTCAGGTTTGACGGTAGTAGAGTGATGGGAATAAACCCAATCAATTTCTGGAGCTTCAGCATACTGTAGAGGTTGAATTTGTAACTATTTACAGATCCTCTTCGTGGCTTTGGATTATCAGTGGGTACAAGAATAAAGTTCATGCATCCAATATACCAATTATAGGCTTGCAATTTTTAGGTTTTATTATTTTTTTTGTGGCATGGGATCCTTAATTATATTGTCCAAATAGGAATTATATATAATTGACCTTTGGAATTATTTGTATCTGTTCTGGGAGGAGGTTTTGCTGACTGTGTATTTTTTTAACCTTTTGGCTTATGGCAAACAGGTAAAGCAAGGTGGTCTCTCTCTCTCTCTCTCTCTCTCCAGGTGCTTTTGAATTTCTTCAGTGGGCTCTTCTTTCCATCTCTGAATTTTTACATTCTCTATCCAGCCTCTCCTTATTTATTCCTTACATCAATCCTCATTTTCCCTTTCTCCGCTACCTTCAGTACTTGCCAGTTATCTGTCATCTTGAAGGATGTCTCCTCCATCCAACTGAAAAAAGCTTGTCCTTATTTTTAAGTTATGAAATCAGTTACTCAAATCCATGCTGATTATTTAATGTTCCTTTGCATATAACTTTGGTCTGCAACTGTTCTTTTCACTATACTATTTCCGTAGTAAAGGGTACTCCTCACTTCCACCTCTCTTGGTTTCTTATCGCATCTTGTCTGATGACTGAGTCAGTGAGCTGCAAGTACCCGGCTCCCCCTTATTACATCATTAAGACAGCAGGAATGCTGTTATTGAGTTTGTTTGTAACTTGTCTGGTATTCAGGTAGGTTAGAAGATACTTTAGATTGTAAGACCTTCTGGGCAGGAATTGTCTGTGTGTGTGTGCTCAGCAACCAGCGCAAATGGTGCTTCAGTCCTGATTGGGGCCTTGGGGTGCTATTACAATATAAATATTAATAGCTACTGCTATTAATAATCTGTGGGAAAGTGATTCCATTCTGAATGGAAGGAACAAGCCGAATGAGGTTTTAAAATGAATGCAGTGGCACAGCCTGTCAGTGTGTTGAGAATGCTGTGTATCTTCATCCTTTTATTTATTTATTTAATTTAACAGCATCAAAAAGTGTTGAGGCTTTCCAGAACCTGTGAAAGACATGGTTCCTACCCAAACAGATCACAATCTGATTTTAATTTACTTAAGCTATCTGTGCTTTGTACTGTACATGGTGCATGGAAAGATGTTAGCATAGTCTCTGAATTTCCTTGTTTTTTTTTTTTCGCGCGTTTGTCTTTTATTCATTTAGCTTTGTGTGTGGTATGCTAAAATGACCAATGTTGTTAATTCCAGCATGATTCTTTATGTAGTAATGACAAATGCGTAACTTCTTGTTCATCCTTTTAAGTCACTTCACATGACATCCCAGATCTCCAGGAATTTAACATGTGAATGCATGATGCTGTTGCTTGCTACAGGACACAGCCTAACAGAATAGCTTCTAAAGGGCCTGCTTTCTGAGCAGGTTTCATATCCCTATAATGCCCAGACACAATGAGATGAATGCAGGATGAAGTAGCAGCTGTACAGATACACAGCAAAGGATCCTGTTTAAGATGCAGCTTACTGATCTCACAGACTGATAACTCTTTTTCTGCTGTTATCTGTTAGTAGAAAAGATGTTACCAGGAACATTACAAATTATTGTAATGGTCTTATTGATCCAAAGGAGCACTAACAGATACTGGTGTAAAAATGCAAGCTTTCCTAAGTCCAGGCAAGCCTCCGATTCCCCTTAGATTCTAAGTGTGTGTGTGTGTGTGTGTGTGTGTGGTACATGTCGTTGATTTCTCCCTCCCCCCCCTCCCACCCCCCAAATACTCTCACAACTTATTCTTTGAAAGAAGTATGAAGTTTAACTTATAAAAAAAAACAAAAAAACCCGCACCCCACAAAACCCTAGGGAACTACATACAAAAACCTGTTAAAAGGAAGTTAAGGTTGCAAAGTCAAAAGACTTGAAACTTGAGAAATGCCAAAAGTAAGGTTTCCCAGGCATTCAGTATTTTTTTTTATCCTTATTATTCAGTGTGTGCTCTTACCATGTAATTAATGACTATACAGCATACACATGCGAGAGCAGAATTAAGGTTGGCATTTACTAACTTAAGTACTTGTCCTGACACCCTAAATATACTGTTTTTTATGTAATTCTATATACTCTTTCTCCATCTTCTATAACCAATGTTTTTGTCCTGACTGAATGATTGACTGAATGACTCTTCAGCTTTTGTGGTGTGGTGTTCATCTCCCTTGCCATTCTGCTCCATTCTTTGTGCTACCAGCAGCATGAAATTCACTGTAATCCTGATGACTGATGCATCTGTGCTCTCTTCAGAGATCATGATTCTAGTGAATTTAACTCTTATGTTGTGCTTGCCATAGAGTGGTATGGAGTACCGTGAAAGGTGTGTGGCCTACTTCACAAACCTTTGCATCCACTTTGGTCTCTTTTTGGTGCATTAGAATATGGTTGTGCACCAGACTGTTAGATGAGTGTGAATGGTGACACAATGGTGAAACTGTAAGGAATCTAGCCATACTAGGCTTTAACCTTTGGATTTCTAAGCAGTTGCTGTACCGTTTGAACTAAAGAAGAATGCATGGCCAAAAAGGTTCCTTAACACAGAGTTAAGGTTCCATCAAGTTTAAGGCCAGAAGGGACCATAAGATCATCGAGTCTGACCCGCTGTGTATTCTGGGCTGTTCATCCAGATATCCTTATATTGGGCTCAATGACTTTAGCTAGACTAAAGCATTTCAGTCCTCAGGAGACTAAACATTGAGTGCCATAGGCAGAGAATAGGAGAGATGACACCAATATCTGAAGCCCCTGCCACGTCAGGGAATTGATTAGGTGAAATATGCCTAAATGATCCTAGCAGGGGATCCATGCTGTAGAGCAGTGGTTTTCAAACTTTTTTTCTGGGGACCCAGTTGAAGAAAATTTTTGATGCCTGCAACCCAACGGAGCAGAGGGGTTTGGGGCTGGGGCAGAGGGTTGGGGTGCAGGGTGAGGGTTGCAGGGTGGGGCTGGGAATGAGAGGTTCAGGGTGTGGGAGGGGGCTCTGGGCTGGGGTAGGGGGTTGGGGTGCAGGAGGGGGTCAGGGCTCTGGGCTGGGGGGTGCAGGCTCTGGGGTGGGGCTGGGGATGAGGTGTTTGCAGTGTAGGAAGTGGTTCCAGGTTTGGAGGGGACTCAGGGCTGGGACAGGGGATTGGGACGTGGGGTTGGGGCGCAGCCTTACCTCCGGCGGCTCCCGGTCAGCAGTGCAGCCGGGTGCAGAGGCAGGCTTCCCACCTGTCAGGGCACCACAGACTACGCTGCTCCCTGGAAGCGGCCAGCAACAGGTCCGGCTCCTAGGCAGGGGGGCCACAGGGCTCCACACTCCCATTGGCTGGGAGGGTGGTGCCTGTGGAAAGAGCCACGCAGAGCCACTTGCACATCTCCGCCTAGAAGCCGGACCTGCTGCTGGCCACTTCCGGGGTGCAGCACGGTGTCAGAACAGGTAGGCACTAGCCTGCCTTAGCTGGGTAGCACCGCCGACGGGACTTTTAATGTCCCGGTCAGCGGTGCTGACCAGAGCCACTAGGGTCCCTGAGTGCTGAGCAAGGCGACCCAGTGCCTTACATGCGGCGACCCAGTACTTGGTCGTGACTCGAACTTTGAAAAACATTGCTGTAGAGGAAGGTGATGGTGAGGGTCCTCCCAAGGTCCCTGCCAGTCTGATCTGGTGGAATGGGGGCGGAATTCCTTCCCAAGACAAAATCTGGTGATCAGTTGGACTCTGAGTATTTGAGCAAGATGCACCAGCCAGGCATCTAAGAAACAGGATTATCTGTACCGACTCAGAGCACTAGTCCATTTCATTCCATGTCCCATTACCAGCTGTGGCCAATCTCTGATGCTTTAGAGGAAGGCGGGGGAAACAGACCCCAGAATATATCAGGCCAGTTGGAGGGGAGGGGAGGGGAATATCTTTCCTGACCCCTGCAGGCATCTATCTGAAGTATGAGATTTGATCATAGTTATTGTCTTAATGCAGAACTACAACTGTTATGAGTATGTTCAGCACAATGCCTAGCTTCCTGTTCTTCCCATGGCCTGTGAAGGAAGGGAATGAACAGTGTGATTCACAGATACCAAGGCTGGATGGGACCATCAAGACTAACCAGCCTAAACTTCTCTCTCTCTCTCTCTCTCTCTCTCTTCCACACACACTCTCTCACACACATTGTAGAATTTATCCCAGAAACTGAATTCAAGCATGCTTTTAGAAAGATATCTAATTGCGCCTAATGACTCCAAGCGGTGTTGAATCTACCACCTTCCCTGGTAAGCTGTTCTAATGTTGAATTTTGTTTACTGTTAGGAGGTTGCATCTTGTTTCAAGGTTGAGTTTGTCGAGCTTCAAAATCCAATGGCTGGAAGCTGTTATGCTTTTGTAAGCAAGGTTGAAAACTCCCACACTATCATATCTTTTTCCATGTGTAAGTATCTATACACAGAGATTAGGCCACCCCTGAACCTTCTCTGTGATAAGTTTAGTTCCTTAAGCCTCACAATGTAAGGTTTGTTTTTCATCCGCTGGATCATTTTTGGGATCCTCTTTCAAAATCTTGCTAGTATTTTCACATCCTTTTTCAAGTGAACTGGGCACAGTACTCTAGCATTGCTCTGACCAATAAGGAGTATAGAGGCAAGATCTCTTCCCTACTTCTACTTTATATCTCCTTCTTATACATCCAAGGATCACATTAGCCCTTTTTGCCACAGCATTGCAGTGTGTGCTCATGTTAGGGGTCATTGTAGGTAATCACCTCAAATCCCTTCTCTGAGTCGCAGCTTTCCAAGCCAGTCCCCCATC